CGTGACTGGAAGTAACAACAAGCTGCCTCGTCGCGACGTCCAGTCCTGTCATTGAATTGTTGGTTTCAAGTTCCGTTGGGCGATTGGAACGGGATTGGCAGCCGCAACCGCTGGATATCAGGACGCCAGGAGGATTGCAGTGGAGTAGTAATTGAGGGACTTACTACGCCTCCCTTAGTGTGGTCTTACGAGTTTTCAAGGTCGTTTGTGGCGGGCGGGGTGGTGGGGAAGTTGTCGTCGGTTGCGAGTCAAGCCTGTGCCTCTTTGGGGGTTCACGATGCAGCTTCACGCGGGTCAGGGTGCAGTCTATCAGTAATTCCACGCCACTGCGTCAGTGTGTATCTACCAAACTGGTAATATATGCATTACTTCTTATCGTATTCCGTGGAGCTTGGGAAATTGGTAGAAAAACAACAGCAACATGCTACGCCGTCTGGACTGCTCCTGGCCCATCATTCGGTTGGACGATGAGTCAGTAGCGCAGATCATCATCCTCCCGTGAAGCCTTGAGACAATCATGATTCGCCTTCCAGAAGATTTCCAGAGTGGACCGTAGGCAATGCTCTCTCCTGGTCCACTGCGCTTGGTTCTGGACGAGGTCTTTGAATCCTCTCGGCAGTCCTGCAGTGGTCGCAAAGGCCCCGCAATTGAGTTGAACTTCGCAAACCGCGTCAAGGCGGAGAACAGAACCTCATCTTGAGTGTCGATGAAACCAAGGTGGCGTCATGCTGCTGGCCATTCCCACATTCCAACAAGCTCCCCACACATACGAACCGGGTAACTGTATGCGTGCGTCAATGGCAATATTCGTCGTGTTCCAAGCTGCGGAGTTGCCGATGCAATGAGTTGTCAAGTAACGTGGTTGGCTCGCATTGCTCGACTCAAAGGCCGTAACCAACGTATTGACTGATGACCCTGATCTACTCGTGGAGGAAGAATGAATAGTGGGCAGGACTGACTCTTGATACCAGCGAAGCCTCAGCCTGGTAAGGAGGATCGTGACTCCACGTCACCAACTTCATGGCAACATCCTTCGAGCTATACATAGCTGCATCGAATCGTGCATAGGTCAAGTCGCTATGCGATGCGACGTCCAGTTCAAGACTTTTTGACATGCGGTTGCGAAGGCACGACCCGACCGTGCCTCTGGCGAACCAATTTCCGTGATTGGCCAGGCCGAACAATGGGCAGAAGGATTTTACTGGCCTTACCAGCTCTTTTATCACGCTCCAGGGACGTGGTAAGCCACACCAATTTGGCAACCTGCATAAGTCCGGCGTAGCTGCAGGTAGCGAGCTGGCGCTACGATGCGAGGAGCCTGTATTAAAAAAGCCAAAAGCGGGTATTCGGCCGATCCATATCTCGACATCTTTCCAGTCTAACTTGTGATGAATGCGAGAAACTGCGAAAAGCGAACCCGACGCAATTTGGAGTCAGGCACTGCCTGGGATGGTGCTCGAGAGTTTCTGAAGCTGCGAAACTGAGACAGGTAGAGAGGCGACCGACATTGTGCCGACGCGCTCAGCTTACCTTATGCTTGGGATAGTTTGGCAGGTCGGAACAGACGGAATGCTGTATTGAAGGTATGTTCCTCCGGTGCGCGTTCCGTGTTTTGTTCACGTTCCACGTAACTGGCGCCTGGTTTGGTGGCCGATTGCGTGCTTCGGAGTTGTCGCCGTCGGGTAAGATCCTGTGTGTCACCTGCGATTTGCTTTGGCTAACGCAGTACCGCCAAAATCACATAAACTTTGGTTGGAAACCGGACCCTTTTTTAAACGTCAAGTTGCCTTGGGCTATCGTATTTTTGCGAAAGGTTGTCGGCAGATGGATGCAGCTCCGCCATCGTGGCTGGTGACCAACGCCGGACATTGGTGAGTATAATTTCGGTTAAGTGCCATAGTCGGTGGAGCAGTATTGGACGGAGTACTGAAAAAACGACTTTTGAAATTGACAGTGATGATACATTCGACTATCCAACAAGGTAGGAAAACATTCAAAATGGGGTATTGTGCAGCTTTCCGCCGTGTTCGCCGTGTACGCCGTGCTATATTGCAATCGTGATGATAAGAAATGATGGAGAGGGGCAGGTTCGTGTCATCGTCTGCAATCGCCTGGCGTCGTGTTAGGGTTGTATTCTTAACGGACATCGTGACATGGGGCAACGAACCACAGTTCTCATTGAGTCTGTATTCTCTGGACGGACAATCAGTTTAGGAAAATGGTAGATGGAACGAACACCTACACTGCCGTGACATTGGCCGGACACCGTACATGCGTTTGTTGGTACTTGGTACACCAGGCTTTGACGACGTAGCGGACGTGAGTGCACTTGTATTGAACTTGCGTATAGTCGCACATGATGGTAGGAAAGGAGAGGCGCGAGGCGTTAGAGGTGATTGACGAGTAAAAGCTCCAAAAGGGTAGCACAAGCAGTAATGGATGGCAAGCAAGCGATTTTGTTGGTACGTTCGATGAAATCTCCGGATTAGCATGCAGCGCGACGGTCCGTTATGTTATAGTAAGCCAGACAGAGCAGACAGACGTCAGTGCGATCAGGTACCCGTGAGAGCTATGCAAAGTTAGCCCATGTCCATAGAACCTGGTTCGTCAGTTGACATGCATCATGGTAGTGGCCGTGAATGTTCAACGGACCCGGGAGCCCGAGAGTGGTCGAGCCCTTTGCACATCATAGACGTGGGTGGGGACCTTCATGTTTGAAGTCCTCTCGCTTCCATGAACCTTGAGGGAGGTAAGTGGCAGCCCAACCCGGATGCCGAGAGGGACTACAAGGGCCGCTGGCCGTATTTGAACAAGATGCTTGCACGCGTCAAGATCCTCGGTCTTGCTCTCAGGGTAGAATAGCCAGCGGACGGGCAATGGCAGCCCGTGAGTGGCTGAGGGGGTATAGAATTTAGAAGTGCGCCAATCCGCCTCGTCGTTAGTGTGCACTAAGTTCAAAGTTATCAGACGTGCACAGATCAAGTTTGATCTGCGACTACGGTTCCACGTTAAGGTGGCGCGTGGGGTGGTGCAGCCGTTGGAAAATCCTTGACTGTGGCAGACACTAAGCTTCGGTGGCCAGGGTGACCCTTCCTGCAGGTCGCGAGACAGGTCGACGATATACCAAATATTAGTTACTGCTAACGTTTACACACTGCTGGAATAAGGCGGTCGCTGCATCGTGGCGCCTGTTTCATCCTGGGCGTGCCTTTCTCGGCAGTACTGCACCGGAGTTTCCACCGATTTGTGTCCTTTATGCTTACTTTCCCGCTTCCCCGGCCCCAGTCCATATCGCGAGAGCATCCGGAGGTCGAGTGTTGCGCAATCACCATATGCCGTCCCGCGTACGGTGAGCGCGGCTGCGCGACATGATCCCACCTGCACCGTTGGTGGCTGTCGGCGGGTCCCTGGTCGCTGGCCTCACTTTCTGACGTCGCGAGCATAAACGCGCAAAATGCGTTGCTCGCAGGATGGAATGGGAATGGGTTTGTGTTTGAGTTCTGGGGCGTGATGTGGTGTTGTGAGCGTTTGATGAACCCAGTGCTGTTGTCGGGTTGGGTCTCGCCCGCATGACGCCATTGGGTCCGGACGTCCGCCTCAAGTTCACAACTGTTTACTCATGCTACCCTACATTTGAGCCTGCTATATGGCAGCGGCACGGTCCACACCTTTGTACGGCACAGCCATGGGGCTTCACTATGGACCGTAGCCTTCTCGCATTGGTGGACCGTGCCCGAGCGCTGTGCCGTAGCTGCGTAGAAGAAGAGGAGCAACTGCGATCCGCGCGGAGATCCTCAGCAACGTGTGCATATACATATACGTATACCAGGAACCTGGTAACGTCCATTTGCAGAACGGCATTCTTACGCGGTGTTCGTGCGATAACGGGTCAGACTGCTGCATGACATAGGTAAAGACAATGCGCATCGGCTCGAACAAGGCGGCCAACTACAACCCTGTTCGGTTGGGGTACGTTTGGTCAAAGAACTGGGCTACCAAGAATGCGGCTACCGAAAACGGGATATGGCGACCTCGTGGAAAAGTTGGGATTTTGCCGCTTCGCCTGCGCAAGACCAATGCAGAACGTCGTCTCATACGGCGACAAAAGTGTGAAAGCCCGCAGAACGTACCAGGATCGCGACCCCTGGAGTGCATGTCTTGCCTATGCTCAACACTATTCGTTGCTGATCGGATAAGTCTGTCCATTCACATTCGCTCGACACCTCAGACGCGAGCTTATGACGAGCCGGATCACCCACGAAGCGAACTTCGTAACGATAGACCATGACTGCATGCAAACGCGTCATACGATTTATATCGGAAAGTGGAGAATCGATAGGATGTCTCTCGTACCATGAGCATGTGGCACAGCTCTATATTCCATACATCTGGGCAAGTGTACGTTGGCCTCTGCAGCCTGACTATCGACGCCACTATTGATAGGGGGAACCTGTGGCCCGAGGCGCCTCTCCCGCGGAAGCCGGGCAGAACCTAGGCCGCATAAGACGCCATTTACACCCACAGCCTTTGTCAGAGTATTATAACTTGTCGACGCTTTATTGGGTCCTCCTCGAAATCTCCACCTGGTAGGCACGCAATCCGTCGTTCATTGGCAAGAACCACGGACATTCAGGCTGAACGTGAGACATGGATATCAACATCAATGCCACCAGAACGGTGAACTGACTGGGCAGAGACTATATGTGGATCCGATACTGCCCCGCGTTGCCAAACCGGCGGTAAGGCCAAAAGCAGTGGTGTGGCTATAGCACTGAGTCTTATATGTATTGGAGACTGTCAGCCCACCTAAGGTATAAACCCTGTGTAAGGGACGGATAGCGGACGGCACTGGAAGACGCAGCGGCCCGAGTGTATACAATTCACCGGGATGCGTAAGCGCAGGTGTCTTCGTTAGAAATAGTTCATTATTGTCCATGCGACGATGCAGAGAAAAGCATCACACCAGTTGTGGATATCTAAGGCTCCATTGCACGTGTTGATCATGAGAACTCTCCATTGGCCTCCCCGGCATCTAGCCAGCCGCGGCACATCTCGACTGCCTAGTAAGAAATTCAAGTCAGCAACTGTCACTCTTGGCTCTGGTTCGTGGAATCTGCTTACCCTTCCCCACTTCTTGAACATCTTCTCGCCCACCTCCTTATCGACATTCGGCTTGAAGACCATGCGGTCTTTCTGGTTAATCTCCTTCAATTCGTCGAACTCCTTCCATACGTCGACCGCAAATCCAGCTGCGATGGCTGCGCCCAGGGCTGTGGTTTCGCGCATGGCGGGACGGTCGACGGGAATGCCGATGATATTTGCTTGCGTCTATCGAAAACAGTTAGTGGAGGCCGCGTATACGGGCATATGTAGGGAAGATCACGTACCTGCATGCAAAGGTTTGAGTTACTCATGCCGCCATCGACTGCGAGCATGTTGAGCTTGTGGCCACTGTCAAGCTCCATGGCGTCCAGAATGGCCCTGGTCTGGAAGCAAGTCGCTTCCAAAGTCGCGCGAGCGATGTGCCCCCGCTCAGTGAACTGGGTGATACCGAATATAGTGCCCTTGGCATCGTCAATCCAGTAAGGAGCGAACAGACCACTGAAGGCTGTCACAAAGACACATCCACCGTTGTCTTCCACAGACGCTGCCAGGTCACTGATCTTGTGCGAGTGCGTGATGAAGCCCATGTTGTTCATGAGGAACTTGACACCACTGCCTGCGACCGCGATACTGCCCTCAAGCGCATACATGGGTTTCCGCTTTCCGCCAAAGTCGTATGCGACCGTTGCCAGAAGTCCGTGCGACGAAATGACCGGCTTTTCGCCCACGTTGTACAGCAGGAAGCAACCAGTACCGTACGTGTTCTTGGCAGAGCCGGGCGTAAACCCCTGTTGACCGACCAAAGCTGACGATTGGTCACCTAAGCACCCTGCGATGCGAACGCCTTCCAGTATACCGGTGCGCAGGAATCCGAAAGCGTCTGGCGAAGAAGACGGCACGATCTTTGGCAACTTAACCTTGTTTTTGTCGATACCAAAGAAATCCAAGAGCTTGTCATCGTACTGAACGGTGTGCCTGGGGTTGCATGAGCGGGCTTTTTCGCTTAAGCAGAAGCGTGCAAAGGATGACCTACAGGTTCATGAACATGGTTCTAGATGCATTGGTAGTATCCGTCACGTGAATTCCGGCCTCTTTTCCACCATTCAGGTTGTATAATATCCAAGAGTCGATAGTACCGAAAGATAGTCGGTTCTCGTCGTATGCTTTGCGAACGTCGTCGTTGTGGTCTAGCAGCCACCTGAGCTTGACCGATGACGGGTAGGTCGACAGGGGAAGTCCACACATCTGGAGTAGCTCGTCGGCGCCTTCGCGATCTTTCAGTTCACGGACCAATCCCTTGGTTCTGGTATCTGGCCTAGAATCGCCTGAAGTCAGTCGCCGTGTGCTCGTCTTTGGGGTGTATTCTGTACGTACCATGCGATCGCATTGCATAGTGGCAGCCCACTATTGGTATCCCAAACGACTGTTGTTTCACGCTGGTTGGTGATGCCGACTGCCTTGATGTCTTCGATTTCGTGTCCGTTGTCGAGGAAGATGTTCGTAGCCCTATCGATGCATTGCTCCACGGTGTTGATTATTTCCCATGGGTCGTGTTCATGCCATCTACGCTAATTAACCCATGCAAAGTCACGAGACATGCGCAGTACTGACCCTGACTGAGGATATTTTTGGGTGAACTCAATCTGATGTTGAGCTACAGGCTCACCGAGACCGTCAAAGATGATGAAGCGGGTACTCGTGGTTCCTTGGTCTATGGACCCAATGAAGAACTGCCTCAATCTCCCCTCGTCCAGATGCGCCTGCGATTCGTCTCCAGCTTCTTCTCCCTTGGGGACTGGCTGTGGCTCAGTGTTGTGGGCGGAAATATCTTGTGTCGCCATGCTGAAAGTTGCACTGGATGGTTTCAAATGTGTATGCGACCCGTTGTACTTATACGGAAGATGTCTTCCGTCCGCGGTCGGGGTTGTGGAATAGGTGCGACGGGTGCAGCTGTTGGTCGCGACGTGTTGCTTCCCAAAATTCGGCACCAAGAACGGTACTGGGTATTGCGAAGGTACGGAAAAATTTCTAATCAAGCCAATCAGGTCTAAAAACCGACTCGCTTCTCTGCGGTGTCCGCGCTGAAGGATGTCTGGATTGCGCTGGGTTGCGTGTGAGTGTGCGGTGCCGCAGCAAAGCGCAATTGCCGATGACGTTGTTCCGAAGGTGCGGTGCGAAAGAGGTCTCGCGACAAAGAACACCGAATTTTGGGAGTATAAGCTTATGAGTTGAAATTGAGGTGGTAGAGAGAGAATCGCCAGGAGAGCATGGTAGGAGAACGAAGGTTTCGGTGTTTAATCGGCAGCGGAACCCGGGCGCGTGCCTTTCCTATGCGGTGTCTGCGGTATGACGCTCGAAGAGGGGTGGTTTTGCCTTTAAAGCGGGGGAGGGGAAGCGCTCCACGACCAACAACACGACAGCAAAGTCGCCCAGCCTCGTCACATGGAGCCTCAAATCTTTCAGCCTCTTCCGAGCTCGAGAGGCAAGCCGTTGATCGGTCTCAGCATCGTCGATCAGGCCAATGCTAGCAAAACTAGACTCTTCGCCCGGCAAAGCATCCGCGCGGGTGTCAGTGTGACTTCACATATAGCGGGTCGCGAGTCCAACAGATCCACAGAAGACGACGCCGTCGTGATTTCTCCAGTGGGACTCCAGGGGGCGCCGGTGGGATACCCGCATCGAACCCACCCAGAGCCTCATCAATTTACCAGCTTCGGCGGTATCACAACACGCGCACCGTGCTCACGATCTTAACAATAAGGGTTGGCGGGTTGCTCCAAGCTCCAGGAGTTCTTCACCGACCTTCGAACACCTTGATCACCAGGCTGTCCACGACGCTCTTTGCTTCCAATGGACTAATGCGATGTCAGCAAAAGCTGTTCGCCTTCGGCAATGACTCGCTATCGTGCTGTGCCACCTGGGCTTACCACGCTTACCACCATGCGAATCGATGATTTGGATGGCTCCATGGATGGCATTCTGCGCGATGCGCGCGAAAAGTCCGATGTCAATCACAACAAACATGCCATTGACGATCTGATTGCAATATCCATGGCTCCCCGCGGATGATCTGGACTTTGGAATGGGTCACCCAGCGAAGCTTCGAGACACAGAATTTTGGAACTCGGAGGTATGGGCATCGGAGCTGACCACGCGTTATGTGTGATGTGTTGCCGAACATGGGATAGTTATCGGTATAAAGTTAGGCATCCGTGCCAAGTGGAGCTAAGTGGGTAGGACTCGTAATGGCGGACTGCCAACCCAACGTTGGGATGGACGGCACGTGATCCTCTGCATGGGGAAGGTCCGAGCGTGTCCTTTCCTCCTATCTCAAATCCACCTTCCTACCCGACGGCCATGTCCATATCATTGCTGCCCAAGGAACTGCGCCTGCAGATTTGGTCGCTTGCATACCACAACGAGCCCCCTCGCCTGGTTGCGCTGGAAACGAAGCCACACGCAGAAAGTCATGACGAAACGCATTTTTGCCCACGGTACTCACCTAGCCCTGCGCCGACTGTGGTAAACATATGTCATGAGTCGCGCGAAGAGGCTCGTTACCAAGCTATCAAAGCGGACCATATCGTGGAGCTGCCGTCGGACATTCCAGGTGCCAGTGGGGGCGAATTCTACTTCCGCATCGATACCGACATCCTATTGATACAGCTGGAAGGGAAGCGCGTGAAGCATTATGACGACTCGCCCGAAGTAGGACTACTGGCTCACTTCAGACGTGCGACGGGCTGCAATCCCGAACAGCTGCAAAAGGTTGCAGTCACCAAAGTAATACTGAACGGGTTTCGAGATGGTAGCCTGTCCAACGTCCTTCGCGAGTTCCCCAAGATCTCGCATATGGTGATGATGCTCACAGAAGACATATGGGAAAAGGATATGGAGAAAGAGCTATTTGTTCGCGCTGCTGCGAGAATAGTGCGCATGTACAAGCTCGATTTGATGAACCGAGCTAGCAGCCAAGGCAAGACATTCAAGCCGCACCCTTTCGACGTGGATTTTGCCAGGCTTCGCCACCGTCAGCTGGATATCTTAGCGAAAGATATCTGGAGAGATTGGAGTGATGGAGGAGATGAATGGGCGACGCTCGATAACTCTGAACCATTCTGGTAGTCTACGGAACATCATGATATATCCGATCACCCTTTTCCGGTAATTGAAGAAAATCCGGCGGCGTGTCTTCCGCTGCCGGCAGCTGGTGCTTCTCTGCCCAATTCCTGATCGCATCAAAGTTCCGACACGTATGGACGGTATTGAAGTCCACAAAGGCTTGCAATGGCTTGTCCGGAGGCTGATACCACACTTGGCCCAGAACGCCATTGTCAACTGTACACATGAGTTGTTGCCGCAAGATGTCGAGACAATGGGCTAGAAATGTGAGTAATATCCCCAGATGTATGCAAGGAAGCCGACTTACTAACGTGGTGCTTCAGAATGTTCGCATCGTTGGAAAATGGGCCAAGCCCTTGCTTCTGGTAGTACTCGAAATTCCAAGAAAGGGACTTTCGCAACAGGTTCTACACATTGTCAACATCCTTCTCGACATAGTGTTCTGGAAGACTTACCAAGCAATGCAGATGGTGCAAGCCTTCCACATGTGCCGGATATCCACCTCCGTATTCCTCCTTGATTTTTACTTGATCAGAGGCAAGACCAGATTTTCTGGCCTCCTCGTTTGGTACTCTCGCGGCATGGTCTAGTCATGGATGTTAAATACTGGAATCTCTGTACATCAGGAGAGCTTACAGTCGACACCCAACTCTTTCCACGCCGCATCTACTTCAGGTCCAGCATCCAGTCGATACGCGTTTGATACCAACAAGGATCCGTTGAACTGGATCTGGTTGTAGGTAACTCCGACATCCTTGATGATCGGAGCTGACTAGTATTAGCAAGACATTCCTCATAAGCAGCTCCATCGACCGTACAATACTGTGAGGTGTGCCTGATGCAAAACGCATCTGCATCGAGTCGTTCCCTTTGAGCTATCCATGCTCCTAGGCAGGCAGAGAGTATAGCTGTGCCGAGGAACGCGGTAGCTATTGCTAGCCATGACCAATGCCGCGATGTTTGTCGCAATGGTCGCAAATCGAGCGAGGCTTCTTCATGATCTGGAAGTAATCTCTTGCAGTCTTCATTCTCTCGATCATGTTCGTAACTTGATCCTTTCTCAATTTCGATGTTCGACATTGCGGCAATGAAGAAGAGATGGAGTTATGCACACGGGGACGAAGGTGAAAGCAAAGGCGAGAGGCATGCCAAATCGAAAAGACGACGATTAGCCATAGTCAAACATTGCGGATGGTGGTCAGTCGCACTCCCAGCTTCTAGCTCTTACCCCGCCTAAGCTGAATACGACACACGATGCACCCCTCCATTCACGATCGCTGGTGGCGTTTTAGGGCTGAGCTGGGACACACAATCACCACGACCTGTCTCGTATACCTTGTCGGAAATAATGGTCATCATCTGCGCTAAACTTCGTTCGAGCAGCTTGCAGCGCGCGTGCCGCATTTTCGATAGCTGGCTTTTGAACTCGATGCACCACCACAAGAATAGATGCGGGACTAGAGTTGACGAGCAGAATCAATAGCACGATGCCAGCTACCATTACGAGCGCCACATCGGGTCTTGCGTAATCTACAGTGCAAGATGCGGATCCCAAAGCGTCGAAGCTCTGTGGGGTTACAGTGGCATCTCTTCGACACCGAATGTCCACTACCAAGGTTCCAAAGCTGACATCCACACCGACCTCAAGTGTATGACGCCGAAGTCGCTCTCAGCTCTCCACAAATAACCGTTTGATTCTGCATAGACAGCTTCATTCGAACAAAACCCTGACTACTCTCCACTCTCTCCCCAGCGCCATCCCGCCCCCCTCTCACTAAGCCTCCGTACTCACGGCTCTGACCGGATCAATCTCAATAGTCAGCCCGCCGCACATACGAGATCTAGTCTGGAATCACGCCACAGAAGAGAGAAGCCAGCGCACGATGTAGCTAAGACACGCGGGGAAGGCATGCGAGTAGGTAAGAGCTAGCTTCAGGTGAGCGAGTAAAGGACCTATGTACATACATATATAAGGATGGTGCTCATTATACATATCTGTCTACAGCAGGACTCAATTCCTACTGCCTACCCATACAAGCCTCTCCTCTTACTCATTAATACCAACTTTCTCTCCCCAACCCCAAACATCAACTATGAAGTCCGTTCTCTCCATCCTCGCTCTCGTAGCATGCGCCCTCGCCGCGCCAGCTGCAGTTGCTCAGGGTAAATACAGCACGTACGGTATGCTATACCCATCATTCTATCGATCTCTCCTCCTCTCGTCCCTCTCCGTCCCTTCCTACCCTCCGTCCTACTAATACCGCAACAAGGCGACTATAAGAACGTCCCTGCGCCTGTGGGCGGATACGGCGACTACAAGAACGTCCCTGCTCCCAAACCAGCAACCTACGGCGACTACAAGAATGTTCCTGCGCCTGCGGGAGGAAACTACGGGACATACAAGGGGTATGTGAAGGAGTAGAAGAGACTTATGGGCTATGAGAGTGTGTAGTATATGGAATTTGCACTAAAGCAGGCTCTCGAGCTGTATTTCAGCCCAGCCTGGGGGCTTATGAATCATGAATCATGGACATCATACACATTTCCCCTCTTCATACCGTAGCAGTGACATCCATACCCTGAACATCTTTCCCATCACAGCTGTCTAGATACACAACATCATCACGCCTCAATCTTAACCCCAGGCCCAATCTCCTTTATCCTACCTTCCAGTCTCGGCGCAATAGCTTTCGTCCAGTTGACCTGGAACTCCGCGCCCTCTAGCTCGTCGCATAGCTTAGGGTTTCCCTTGAGACCAGCAACACGCCACCATTTCCGCATCACACGCCTTATCATCTCGGTCTGCTTATCCGTGAACTGTATCGGGACTCTAGAATCGTACATCGGGCCATCATCTTCGTCTTCATCTTGGTCTGGATCCTCTTCTCCGAGAGTGTCGTGTGTGTTGTCGTCGCGTTGATTTTTCTCACCCAGGTCCTCAACGGGATTGTTGCCACGGGACTGGGTAGGCGAGGTAGGAGAAGGGTCATGGAAGGCATGGCCATGTTTCTGCAAGTTCGTTTGGATAGACGCGAAGCGCGAATTCATGGACTTGCCCCAGCGTTTCCATTTGCCGAGAACTTTCAGGGACATGAAGTATTGGCGCAGGATGGTAGAGATGAGGACGCCGTTTTCTTCCGAGACGATTTCTTTGGCGACGCCACCTTCTTCTTCGATTAGGAGGGATGTGTAGCCATCTGGAAGGGAGTCAGTAAGCATTGTAACCGTATTGATTGAATCTGACGTACCTTTACCGCGGCCCATGTAGCCTCGTGTAGCAAGAACGTACTCGCGCGTCTCGTCTACAGGCTCTTCTCCGATTGTCACGTTTGTTACTCTCGAATGTGGTGGTTTGGAGTAGTCGGCTTCGAAGGTGATGTTGGAGACTTGTGGGAATCTTCCTTCGAGGGCTGGGTAGTTGCTGACGCCGTTCTCCAGTGCTTCTCGTATCGCCTTGCCGGTGACCTTTAGTACTACGACTGGGTCTTCGAATGGGAAGCAGTTGACCAGATCTCTGAGCTTCAGTAGGCCAGGAGGATAGATCTGGTCGCCGCGGATTGTTCCAGCGGCCATGATACAGCACTCTGCTGAGTAGTAGTAGCGCATGAGATCGCAGACGAAATTGCCGATATTCGACTCCTTTGTCCGCACTGTTGTGAAACGCGCGTCGAGTGGTGCAGCGGTGTATCCGATCGGCTTGTCTAACCGCTTCCTGATCTCTCGTGTTTGTTCTTCTACCAGCTCCATTGCCTGGGGATCTTGTGGTATGCTGCTGACAATGTCTCGCCGTATGATCTTGAAATCCCATCCTTTGCCTTCAGGCTTCCGCCATGCCTCGACATGAGACAGTTGTTTGAAGTCGGTGCCTGAACGCAGTACTTGGGTGCCGTTGATCAGGCTGTACGAGTAGTAGTGGTCGTGACCGCCGAGGATGATGTCAATCAAGCCGCCGCCGCATTGCTTTGCCAGCTTGTTGTCATTAGGCTCTCGCTGATGCGACACGCATACGATGATCTCTGCGCCCTGCTCCTTCAGGCCAGGTATAAGTTCCTTCGCAGTCTCGGACGCGCTCTTGTATATGATGTCCGGCGGCAGCGCATTGATCGTGTCAAGCCACTCTCGTTCTGCGAGCCCAATAACACCGACTTTGATGCCGTTGGATGCTGTGAGCATGACCGTCTTCTTCGCGTTTCCGAGTGGGACGCCGTCGCCGAGGGCTGGATCGTGTACGTTTGCGAGGAGCCATGGGAACTTGCATTTGGCTGTGAGGTAGCGGTACTGCTTGACACCAAAGTCAAGGTCGTGGTTCTATTTTGTCGTTAGTTAAACTCGACGTTTGTAAACATCGACGTACATACTCCTACGCAAGAGACGTCTGTGCCAATGTTGTTCAGCACAGGAACCATGTGGCTTCCTAGAATTAGCGTCAGTCTCCTTGCGTACCCTCGGGTGATTCAGCTCACTCACCCTTTGTGATACTACTCTCAATGCTTGGATTGAACGCATCTCCAGAGAAAAAGGTCAAGAGCTTTGGTTGGTCCTTGAATCTCTCGTCGTTTCTATAATAATTGACGAGAGTTTGAAATCGAGCGTATCCGCCCACGGGCTCTCTCGACCCCGCTTCTACGTGGTATACATCATTGTAGTGTAAGAAACGGAGGTCTGGCGGGGCATTTGGCGCGCCGCCTTCTGGCTCGCATATGAGCAGTTCTTCCGCTGAAGGGTGGTCTGTAGGTGCCATGATGAAGTTGGAGTCTATGTCATACGTGTTCCAACGCGGGAGATAGTCGTCGGGGGATTATGGTATCCAAGGCGTTCTTGTCGCGTGTTCGAGCGGTGAGCACGCCCCGACGCTGCTGTGCATCATCGAACGCAGCTAGCGCTTCAGGGTCCAGGCTGAGCTGCATGGCGAGGGCGCGTGGACCAATGACGATGACGTCTTTCTAAGTCGTGAGTGGATCTGCAAGGGGCAGTTTGAGGCTGACGGGTGCCGTACCGCTGCCGCATGGCATGTATGGAGGGGTCAGGAAGGACCTCTGGAATGGCGCGCATCAACAACGGTGCTACACGAAGCTCAGGCCACTCCAGATCCCTTGCAACAGGACTCACGAATGCATCTAGGTACTTTGTTATTGAACTACTTGCTCTAATAAATAGAGCAAAGGTAATGCCTCATATACAATAATGTAGCAGCAAAGGCGAGGGCTGTGCTTCTCGATGCCATGTGCTGGACGATGCAAAACGCCAGTGCCCTCCAAAGTGGATATCACCGGTCCAGATATCATGATCATAAGAGAGAAGATGCGCCATTTACCCAAGCCCTGTGGAACAACGCCGCGAAACCCACACAAGAATCCAAAGAAATGCAAACCGCGGTTGGAAGCTCCCTCTACAAAGCATTCCAACCATCCCAGAGATTTAACCTAGCCTTGCCCTTACCCTTCGGGCCTTGCCTAGACCCAGCTCCCGCTGGACCCGTCCCAGAACGCCTTGAACTCCTTCCTAATTCCTATTGCCTACTACTGCCTGGACGACCCCCCTTGGCCTTGGTCTTGGTGTGTGTCTCCTTGCACTCGTCACTGCAGAACCATTTGGTCCGGCCAGTGGGCGGTTTGTCAAGGTTGACGCAAGCAAGATGGAACCACTCACGGGGGCAGTCGTCGTTGTCGCAGGCAATCATGTTGCCATACGACACTTCGTTGCAGTAGCAGTACCGGGGCTCATCGCCGTCTTCTTCCGCTTCCGATTCGGGCTCGGCTTCTACCTCGGCTTCTTGGTATTCCTGTTCTTGTGCGACGGAGCTTGCGGCGGAGGACGGGGGGTTCGATTTCGCGTTGGGAACGGGTTTCATGGCGGGGGAGGCAGTGGCAGTAGTCGGCTGTGTGTTCTTCTTGTGGCCTCGTTTCGACCCGGTGCCTGTCGTGCTGTTGTTCTCGGATGAGGTGTTGGAGTTGGAGTTGCCATTGTTCGCGTTGCGACTGCTGCGGCTTCTCGCCATTGATATCTCTGGGAACGCGCCAATGACAGGTGTCGCAGTCTTTGAAGTGCGACCGGGCCTTGCAGAGGCTGCTGCCGGCGCAGGAGGATCAACCTCCATACTCTCTGGCTCAGGCTGTCCCAAATCTTCCAACTTCATGTTGGATGTGTCAAAGGGCGGCGGGACCTCTGCGCTCTCCTTGGGAGTTGATGCGCCCTTTACCGAGGTATTGTCCCGCACGATCCCAGCAGCCTGCTCAAGCTCTGTAATGACATTGCTACTAGCGGCTTGTTGTACGGAATGAGAAGAGGAGGGGCGCCGTGCCGCAGGAGCCTCTTGGTCTTTGAGCGACGCCACCGAGTTGGCTGTGGAGTTCTTCCGCGCACGTGCAGACAACGGTCGATCCGATGCACCGGCAATTGCTTTGTTGATGGCAAAATTGGCGGCCAGGGGGGACGATGCCATTGGGGGCGAATACGGCGGAAGCGGGTTCTTGCGTTGCGCAGGCACGGGAGCGGCACGCGGTTTGCGCTTCGCTGCGGCGCTCTCTGGACCTGGGGTACCCCGTGGGCTTGAGCCACCTCGTACGCCGTTGCTGGTAGCTTTCAGAGCATTGCTTATTGATCGCTCCATGGCCGGGGCAGCTGGTGCCGCTGCAGCGAGGGCCTTTTCGGTCTTCTTTCGCTTGCCGTGCGGACCTGCGCCATTGCTCGAGATGCCCAACCCGAGGTTCCTGGTGTCTGGCCCTGCTGTCTCTGCGGGCATGGGCTTCCTCTTCTGTGGCTTCTTGGCGGGTCGGTCGTCGAAGTCGGAATCGACCTGGTGATGACGACTGCGCTTGTTGGCCTGCATGGCTTCGCGTCTGGCCTCGCTCTTCGCCGCGATTGAGTCGACGTCATGCACATGCTGGGCTGCCGCGGCCAGATTGTTCGCCGCAGCCACCTCGCGCCGTTGTCGCTCGTGGTTTTGGCCGCCCTTTTTCTTCTCCTCCTTGTCCGCGTATGCCCAGTGGGTGAGGCTGCCGTATCGCGCTTCGTCGCTAATTTCGCCGTCGAGCTGGGAGAAGGAGTGGTGCATGCGCATAAGGCCCTTGTCTTTGGTGGCTTTGGCGCCCTGGAGGACTACCAGCTTCTCGTCGAGCGTGGGGAGCATGTTCGCGATGAGCATTCTGAGGCGAAAGAAGAGCTGGCGCTTCTGGATCGCTGCCTGCTCCTCGGGGGAGAGGCTGTCGGGGTTGGATGGGTTGAGCTGCGAATAGTGAGCCTGGGGTAATGGCGTGCGCTCAAACAAGAACGTACATTGGTATTGTTTTCGGACGCTGTAGAGGCCTGTTCTACAGCCGCCAGCTGCGCCTTGGTGGTGACGGGCTGCTGGGCGATCTCGTCAAGCAGCTCCGTGAGCATCTGCTCTGGGTCGTGGAGTTTCGCCTCGACTTCCTTGAACATGGAGAAGTGCTTGATTATCTCCTTCGGGAATGCGTCGACGGCGCCTGTAAAGTGTGTGAGGGCGGGCAGGAAGCCGGGCGCGCTGTTGGAAGCCTCGGGCGTCTGCTCCATCCCGCTGGCGGCGAGCCGGCCGGCGAAGGTGCGCGCATAGTAGTTGGTAGGTCGGACCGTGGCCCTCCCTTGTCTCGTAGACGTTCGAGTGCCTGTGGTCGGCGGCATGGTGGCTGTGAGGGCGCTCCGTGGGTTGCAGGGCGAGGAAAGTGGCCGCGGACGCGCTCAGCTCAGGATGCAGTGTGTAGAAAGAAGTTGCGTGGTAGGAATGACGTGTAGGCGCATCTCAAGCGATAAACAGTAGTTTGCTGGCGTGTCCCGCGATTTGCCTGTGGGTGCCGTGCAGCGTGACGATGCGCAGAACAGGAGCTCCTCACTACCACTTGACGCTACAAGCGCGAAAGACGCTAGGCACTGTCTGTTGACGGAATGTGCACGTGATTTGCGTTATCGGCGGTAGCTTGCCCGATAGTGACACAAGCCATCGTGCCATCAGCCTCCCACCATCACCACCCTCGAGTTTATCCGTCTCCCCTTCCCCAGCCACACGGGGTACACGGAGCTACCATGCTCCCGCTACTGACCAGATAAGACACCCACAACAAACTTTCTTTCATCGTTACTTTACTCTACGCGCCGGCCGTGTTGGTACTTGCCGCAGTCGTCCGCGTGACATGGTCCGCTATCCTCTACGTGGAAATCCCTTTCGTGACCGTCCGTCCCATATCGGTTCAGATCGCATCGGCATCGCTGAGGTATGCAACGGGACATACGCAGTCGTGTTACTTTGGATAATTTTTTCGAAGTTCGAAGTCCCGGAGATAAATGTCGAATAGTAACACAAAGACTCAGCCTCATGCACGCTTTTGGCCCCGATCCGCGGTTCGCCCCGTATTTCTCCAAAGGCACAAGTCCAAAGAGTGCAAAAGAACTAGTACTATTTCCACTATATTTAGGAGTATCCACCAATTGAGTAACTTCCCATAGCCGCCGTCGGAATGCGACCTATAGCAGCTTGGAATCCTTCGCGGCGTAGTCAGTTGGGTTCGGTCCGGAGATCGTAGTGGAGGAGCATTGCCGGCCTTAAGCCTCAGACGTATACGGTATTTCGCCAGGCACATCAGAGTTGCGTATTCTGGATTGGCTGGATCGCATAAGTGTTTGATCACTAGTTCTCGACACAAGCGCTGCGCGGTTACGACCTCGGAACCTTGGAAGGCACTAAACTTATCAAAACCTAGACAACAGGGAACTAGAACGGGAACGGGAACCAACTCATGCCACGCCGTAGATGCTCGTTTACATCTACCCTTCGGCAAGTAAGTCTCTTCACAAGGGTCGGGCTGGCGAACTGTTGGCACGAGCCCTGATTGTCGACTCTGAGCTCTTAGACGTACACCATCGCTGTTGGGTCGGTTAACAGTCACTTGGGGGCCGTCATAGATGCGTGGAGGATTCGTTTGACTCAATCGTGTTCGAACTTCCATGTCACGTCTTGAGACTCCATTTCTAGGCTTCAATCACCGTATGCGTGACTCCATTCCTCTCACTCCCTCACTTCATTCAACCCTACTCGAAGGTTTGTCTGGTTCGTATTCTGTCAATGTGGGTACTGTAACAACATTCCGCGGGCCTACTCTGAGTTTAAATCATCCTTCAGTAGCGGCACAGCTTCAACATTGCCTAGTTGCCACTCGGGTTGGCGATTGCGGCGATTGTTTCATCTTCCCGACCATTCCATGATTAATATCTTCAAGTGTTGGACTCACAAGGGTCGCGATCTCGAGGCGTCATACGCGGCTCGAAGAAAAGGCTGGCCAGGGCTTGAACAAACGATTGTCTTGGCAGGGACGTGTATCGCGAGTCTCACGGGCTCACCATTGGCCCAAGTTACCAGGCAGATGGCAGTTCAGCGGGGCTCAAGCGGTCGAGCGGCCTCGGGCCGCAGTGCGTTGCATTGTACGACGGCACATGTGAATCACGGACAATAGTCAGGGACGTGGTTGAGTCCGTCCTGAGGTGACGGCGGGTTGCTCAGGCGGTCTGTTCAAACAGTAAAAATTGGTCACTTGAGAGTCACCTTCACTTCCCATCGGCCTGCCGCGATTGCACCGCCGCCTCCCACCCTTTCTCCCACTTATAACCCGCCTCCGCTCACCTCCCTCGAGACTTCCTTAACAACAAACTGAACTCTCGTCAACAGCAGTGCAGCCGACCGTCCTTCAACAGTCGTCCCTCTACTAGTAATATATCTACCCACGGACTCAGTCAACACGTCCACCGACTACATGATCAAGACCCCCGACACCGCCGCTGGCGCTACCTTTACGCCTGAGATCACTCAAGCCGAGAACATTCGCAACAAGATGTCTGTCGACAACCTCGTCGAGAGCCCGAGTGATTCTCCTGACATCACCTCGGCGCTCATAATTGCACCACCTTCCACTCCCAAGTCGACCAAGGAAGAGCCTTCATCGCCCACTGTCAAGACTCCTGACACCGTCATGACCGACCTCGTAAGTGCAAAGCCCCCCATCCGCACGCATCTCGCGCGATGTGCGGAGTCACCACTCCACCATTGAATTCACAGACTGACCGAGTATCAACTGAGTAAAGGCCGAGCCCGACGTCTCTGGTGATGAGTCTCTCGACGACGACGGCGAAGATGTACCCGACTCACAGCGCGAGTTCCTCTGCATGAACGACGAGCACACTCGCTGCATGACTGGCCAGTACACCAAGGACCTGTCGCGCAAGGTCATCTCCGACCACTTTGGCCGCAACAAGGCGTGTACCCGCGACATCACCGACTGGCCTCTGTTCTGCCGCAAGCACTACCAGCGCGCGACCTACAACAAGACCAAGTGGCAGATCCGCAAAGTGCAGCTCATCCTCCGCCAGTTCGAGGTAATCGAGAAGCAGTTCCCAGGCACCACCTACGACATCGCTTTCAAGAAGTCCGAAGAAGCGCGTCTAAACCACTACTCCCGTCAAGTCGCCGCCGGAGCCAAGAATGATCAAGCTGAGAAGAGTGTGCACCCCAAGATCGGCAAGCACTTCGAGGCGCCCATCGACGTCCTCCGCGAGCTAGACCAGTGGCTCGGCTTCAACAAGACGTACGCAGAAGTCAAGAAGATCGTCGATGTCATCCTCCAGATGCTCGAGGAGAAGGAGACCGAACAAGTTCCGTCCATCGAGTTCCTCCCCAAGCTCCCTGGCAAGACTCCGTCGCCCAAGAAGACCCCAGCCAAAGCCCGCACACCCAAGTCGCCCAAGTCACCCAAGTCACCCGCCAAGTCACCCAAGACATCTACCCGCGTCTCCAACAAGGGTTCCGTCAAGAAGACTTCAGCAAAGGCCTAGTTCTACCATAGCGTCGCTGCGCCCAGCATCGCGACCACCGTCGCATCATGTCACTCCTTCATCCCATTGCCATTTGCTTTCACGGTCTCTCAGCGGTTGAGCTACCGACACTCTAATATTCCTTTGAGTGTCCTGGCAAAATGCACGCACTACTACCATCTTCACTATGTTCACAGCATCTGCAATTTTCACTCTTTTGATTCACATGTCTGGCACCATCACGACTGTCTTCGCACACGCTATATGCTGTCGCCCCTCATGTATCAGCGTTTTCCAACGCAGGACACAAGACTGTTCGTATGGGCGATGGCCGAACATGTACTTACTCACTCACGGCATGAGTGTTCTTTTTACTTCTATACCCTCATCTTACGATGGCGACTTGTCTTGTCTTGTCTCTTGCATTATAGGTAGATTTTGGCGGCGTTTAGGCATAGGGTGTTTTTTCTGGGGGCTGGAGTCAGCGTGTGGGCATGGGTTCGGCCTCACTGGGTCTGTGGTATCATAGTTTAGGTTTGGGGAGTTGGGTATATACTACGGTAATCAAATTCAAAGCTCTCGTTAGAAACATGCATCCCCGCATTCCTCATCGTGACATTGACGTTACCGTTACCGTTGACATCGACATTACCATCGACGTTGGCACTCCATGCACTGTCGTCACTCACGTTACACACATCATCTGCAAACTCCCGTTCCTGCATATGCACACTGCACATGCACCATGCATCCCCGGACGGCTATAGCCTCGTCTGCATGTGTGTCACCGATACTGTCTACCGCCTGCTCCGCTGTGGACGCACGCTCTTTGTTGTGTACCTGCATTTTGAGTCAGACTTCGGGGTCGGTCCTTTTTCGTTGTGACTGTGCCGCAGCGCGCTGCCTCGCTTGACTGGTTGGTGAGGCTGGCCCCCTCGTGCAGGCGCTTCTCCCCCACATGTAACGCATCCTGCGAGTCGGGCCGAGGGTGTGGCGCGGGTTTGTGTCTCACTGCGGTGTTTGGTTGCGTGTTGGTATGGGGAGAATTGGGGTAGATGTGTTGTGGTGATCATTGCTGTATTTGCTATGCGAATGTGTTCTTTGATTGACATCTCCGATGGTATCTGAGGCCAGCTGCGACTTCTCACCGCGTCTTCTTCAGGACGTGGGGTGAGGGAAGCAGTTTGAGGATGCAACTCACCCCATCATCCCCAGGTGGTAACAGAGGTCGCGTATAAGAAACACGCTTCATCATGTTGGCCTGCTTGTACCTTGCACCTGCATCTACCTTATCTCGTGCAAACCTCTACTACTGCTCCATTATCCCTCTGCGTCGTGCTCCCCAAGATGAGCGACAAGAAAATCGAGCTATGCGGAGTCTGGGACGGCGACTTCTCTTGGGATGGCTACTTCCTGCGAATGCACATGAAGACAGTGACCCAGCAATACGACATGTACAACCCCCGCACTTGGCCCTTGGTAAGCCAGGTTATGGCAACGGAGAACAACAGTGATTACAGGAAGAGCAAGGTCCCTCCCGAGTATCTGGTATACGAACAGACTCTTATCAAGGACCTGGACGCGCTTCGACCTCTCCAAGCCCAGCGGACGTGCAATCGTAGGAAGAATCGAGAAATGAAAAACCTCTTTCGCTACTACCCGCTGAACTATGATCGTAACGGCGAGTTGAGAGCGCATCCGCATATACCATCTGACGAACTGGAGGAGTGGATGAGTCAAATCAAGAAGAAAAACCCGATTGCGAAGAAACAGGAGGACATCAAGGATGTGATAGTCGGCAACCATGCAAATGACGAGGCCACTGAGGATGCTTCGCCCGAAGCAGCAGCGATTCATGAGATCATGAAGATGTTGGACGACACAGATACAGTGCCCAACAGCAGAGTGACTGAACTGGAGGAAGAACTCGACAAGACCAAGAAAGAGAGCTTAGAGGCAGACATTAGAGCGGAGAGCGCGGAAAAGAAAATTACTGCAATGACAGCCAAGTACCAAACGGCCGTTCAAAGATTCTCCGTCCAGGTTGGAGAGGCGCTTTGTGAATACAAGGAACAATCGCACAAGCTCCTTTGCCAAGAGCGCATCAACCTCAGTACCCTGAAAGACATATTGGTGAAGAAGGAAGATGAGATCGCCAGCCTGCAATCGGACCTCAAGAAGAGTGGAGAGGACATTGCGACAGCGAAGCAGGAGACCAAGGTGGCAAAGCAGCCAATCTTCAAGATTTTGGAAGAAATGAAGAAGAAGAAACAGGGTACAGGTTTGCAGAAGAGGAGAGCGGAGGAGGAGGGGGCAGAAGCAGCACGAAAGAAGCCGAAGATCGAGAGTTGGGAAATGCAGTAGCGACATGAGGGATGTGCGCGCGCGTCCGGCTTTTAGTTCCCGCGTGTGCTGGCTTGTTCGGCAAGAGAATTTGGGGAATGCGACAGTCGGTCTAGAACCACCGGGTCACCAAAGACGTGGCTACGTCATATGGATTTAGCTCAGATACGAAGTGTCTCGGATCTTTCATCGCTGCCTCTACTTAGTCCACGGGACTTGTTGGTAGAGGGCATCGGTCAGCCTGATGTCTCTGTCTCCTGGCTTTATCTTCAGTAGATTCTCCTGACTCGTGTCCAATACAAGAAATGTTTCAAGGTTCCATGGCAACCAGTGGTGAAGATGGCTCATGGTGAAGGTGAACGAGGAGCGCTCGCCCTCTCACCGCGAATCTTCCAGACTAACCGAAAGGGCAGGAGTTTGATCACGACAGCCGGCCTCTATAGCTAGCAAAGCTTTTCCTGCCCCTTCCGATCGACAGCAGCAGCATCACACCCCTCGTTTCGCGTTAGAAATTCTCAAGGTAGGTCGAGTATGGGCGTCAACGCAGCACAAGTGACTGACACGATCGCGACACAAGATGGCACCTCTTCCGCGCTACGAGGGCACCTTCAGCTTCGTCTCGTCAAGATTGTATGCGAGCATCAAGCGCGCCATCCCTACCTACGACAAGGAAGATCCAAAGACCTGGCCATATGTCACCCTGTCAACGATCGAGAAGCTTCGCCCGTACCAAGGATACCCGGATCTTCCTACAGGCGTAGCCTACCAACGAGAAGCAATGAAGCGATACGAGAGCATGTACACACCACAAGAGCGAGCAATTGCCGCCTCCGTGAACGGTCCCTTGCATCAGCGATACCCGTACAACTACGATCGATTCGACGAGCCGAAGGAGAAAGTCGGTATGTCCGGGGCGGAGTACCGGAGCTACATGGCGAATACTACTCCAATGCCTTCTACACCACGAGTACGCGAGCGTGAAGAATGGGAGCAAGACATCCCTGACAGCGCAATCGATTGCGACACTCCTCCAGGCGGACGTATGGAGAGCGCATCCCCAACCCCAGCCACCCGCACCCAACCCCCCTCCCGCTGCACCAACAAAACCTGCACCGACACCCGCCGCGAAGCCGCCAGACTCCGCGGCACCCTCTTCGACAAAGACTCCCAGCTCCTAAGCTGCCAATCCGATCTCAAAGAATACGAGACAACCGAGAAGTTGCGGCGACGAGCTTTGGAAGACGCGGAGTACGAGGTCGAGAAGGAGAAGCAGCGTGCTGATGCTGCAGAGAGGGAATGTATGCTGCGTATGAAGGGTAATATTAGGTTACAGCAGCGCGTGAGGGAGTTGGAGGGAAAGGTGAAGCAGGCGCAGGATTTGGATGGGTATTGTGTTGAGTTGGAGGGGGAGATTGAGAGGTTGAATGGGGTGCGGGATGGGGAGGAGGATGAGGAGTCTGATGATGGTGACGATGGTAGGTCGCGCAAGAGGATGCGGTCTGAGAGTTTGTAGGAGGTCGCATGTTTGGATGTCACGGTCGCGTTCTTGCGATGCACGACTGCCGCGGAGACGCCGCACACGCGAGGTTTCGGCAGCGCTAGCCTATTACGTTGCGAACGCCTTCCCCGCTCGATGCGTCATTATCGTCAAGTGTCAAGTGTCAAGTGTAGTTATAAACTCCGCTCTGCGTCACTCGATTAGGCAAGACATTTGCTCTGGCATTGCTCTGGACCGATGTACTCGTTCTGAATTTGTCAGACCACGCCCTACAGCTATATTCGCATTAGTACACGACAGGAGAAGAGAGCCGTGTGACTAGTACAGTGCAGAAGAAGAACTCGTTGGGGAGGAACACTTGCAGTTTACCTAACTTCCTGAGGTTCTACGCAAGCCGCATAATCTTGACTGCTCTTAACACAGCCAGCGACATGGCGCTCCCAGCTACTACGCAGGTCGCGATCCTACTATCGATCTTCATTTTACCCATTCTCACATACATCTACTTCACCAAGAACCAGCAAGTAAGGAGCAATGCTGGGCCTTTACCAGCAGCGACAGAGATCACAGGGCTCTTCATACACCCCATCAAGTCATGCCACGGCATCAGCGTAAAGTCGGCGAAGCTCTTGCCAACCGGCCTTGACCTCGGTGCGCCTCTGTCGTCAGCTATTCGAGAACTGTAATATGCTGACAGAGCCAGATCGTCAATGGATGTGGGTGAGCTACCCAAACTACGAGTTCCTGACGATCCGCCAAAACTCCAAAATGACACTGATCCGGCCAACCTACGACGAAAAAACTGATACCCTCACCGTTACTGCACCAGCGCCAAACTCGGTCGATGAGAAGTTGGAGTTTTCAATCCCGGCTCATCCATCTAAGGAATGGCTCGACGAGAATACCGAAGAGCACTCGGCAAAGATATGGAGTACTACAACGGGAACCCGCGTGTACTCTACGAAGATGACCGCACCCTTCAACAGCTTCTTCGATAAGGAAGTACGGCTCGTATACAAGCCCCCTGTCTCCGAAGACCCCAGACCTCTAGTATCGAACGGTGCACCAGGCGTCCTAGGAAGAGATGCATCGACCTGTTTCCCCGACCTGATGCCCGTACTAGTTGGCAACCAATCCAGCATCGACGAACTCAACACGCGTCTCAAAGCCGCAGAAGGCC